CTCTAAACTGTTCCCCGGAGGATATTATCAACAGCCTACCACATTTTCACTATAACGCCAAAAGAATTTTCAGGGAGCTGCCTTTCCCAGTCCTTTTTTCCCCTACACTATTTAGATCTTAGACTGCTTTTTGGTGTTTGATTTTTTCCCTTTCGCTTTTCCTCCGCCACGAACAGTTTTTTTCGTCATCTTTCTATACCACTAGATCCCCTTTAAACACAACATAAATGGCCCCTGCTCTCGATACAATGACCCCCTCCGATGCCGTTGTCGCTTCGGAAAACCAAAAGTCCGTCAAGGTCCTCGATGAGCTTCTTCAGAAATTGTCCGTTTCAAAGACAAAGGCTGATGCCACCTATGCTGCCGAGAACTTGGCCACTTTCATTAATGGTCCCATTGAAGAGCACGAGGTTCCTACAAAGTAAGTTTTTCTCGCCTTCTGGTGAGTTCGAAGGGGTTTGTTTGCTAACCACAGTTATTTAGGATCCTCAACTTGATCAAGAAGCAGCTCGCGAACAAGAAGGACGCCCTTGCTAGGGAACATGCTCTTACTGCCATCGCCGCCATCTGCTTGAAGCAGGTTTCTCCCAGTATCGAGCCTTACATCGTTTCACTGCTCCCCAATGTTCTCGCCGCTGTTGGGGACAAGATCACCGCTGTTAAGAATGCCGCCGATGCTGCTTCCCTGAAGATTGTTGGCATGATCAACCCCAACGCTGTCAAGGCTGTTCTTCCTGCCATCTCTCACTCAATCACCAAGGCTCAGAAATGGCCTGAGAAGATGACCGCCCTCAAGTGCCTCGATGTTCTCGTCCGAACTGCACCTGGACAGACTGCTCTCCGTCTCCCTGAGCTTATCCCAACCGTCTCCGAGGCCATGTGGGATACCAAGCCCGAGATCAAGAAGGCTGCTCGTGCTGCTATGGAGAAGCTTTGCTCTCTCATCTCTAACAACGACATCAACCGATTTATCCCTGAGTTGATCAACTGTATCGCTAAGCCTGAGAGGGTCCCCGAGACAGTCCATCTCCTCGGTGCTACTGTTTTCGTCGAGAATGTCCAGGCGCCCACTCTGTCCATCATGGTTCCTCTCCTCGAGCGTGGTCTTGCCGATCGTGACACCACCATTAAGCGAAAGGCTGCCGTCATTGTCGACAACATGTGCAAGCTTGTCGAGGATCCTCAAATCGTTGCTCCCTTCTTGCCCAAGCTTATGCCCAACCTCCAGAAGAACTATGACAACATGGCCGATCCCGAGGCACGTGAGAAGACCAAGCAAGGTCTCGATACTTTGACCCGCGTTGGTGACGTCAAGGACGGCAAGATCCCCGAGATCTCCACTGCCGGTGATCCTAAGGTTATTCTCGAGACTGTTAAGACTGTCTTGTCAAACAGGAAGGACCTCGCTGCCAAGTTTGAGCCTGTTCTCACATATATTGCTTGTATCGCCGGTAGCTTGGTTGATGAGAGGGAGAACGAGGTCCTCATTTGGACCGAGCACACCGTCCCATACTTTGCTGCCTTCTTGCCTGAGGGTGAGGCCCAGGGTACCGCCGAGACTTTGAGGAAGCGTGCTGCCCCTGGTGCCGCTGAGGAGGAGGTTGATGAGGACGATGAGGAGGGTGAAGACCTCTGCAACTGCACATTTAACTTGGCCTATGGTGCAAAGATCTTGCTGAACCAGACCCATCTACGATTAAAGAGAGGCCAGCGTTATGGTCTTTGTGGACCCAATGGCTCCGGAAAGTCCACCCTCATGCGCGCTATCAACAACGAGCAGGTTGAGGGCTTCCCCAAGAAGACCGAAGTCAAAACTGTGTTCGTTGAGCACGATCTCGATTCTGCTGATACCGAGAAGACCGTCGTCGGATGGACATTCGATAAGCTCGCCGAGACTGGTGCTGGTGTTTCCGTTGAGGACATCAAGACTAAGTTGGGTGAATTCGGTTTCCAGGAGACCATGTTTGATGCTCCTATCACTTCCCTTTCCGGTGGTTGGAAGATGAAGTTGGCCCTTGCCCGTGCTGTGTTCGAGAACCCCGATATTCTTCTCCTGGATGAGCCTACCAACCACATGGACAGACAGAATGTCAAGTGGCTCGAGCAATATTTGATCAACTCTCCTTGCACATCCATCATCGTCTCGCACGACTCTGGTTTCCTTGATAATGTTGTTCAACATATCATCCACTACGAGCGCTTCAAGCTTAAGCGTTACAGGGGTAATCTCAAGGCCTTTACCGAGAAGGTTCCTTCTGCCAGGTCTTACTACGAGCTCGGTGCCTCCGAGATCAACTTCAAGTTCCCCGAGCCCGGTTACCTTGAGGGTGTCAAGACTAAGGCCAAGGCCATCGTCCGTGTCTCCAACATGAGCTTCCAGTACCCCGGTACTTCCAAGCCCCAGATTCGTGACATCACCTTCCAGTGCTCTCTCGGATCCCGTATTGCCGTCATTGGTCCCAACGGTGCCGGAAAGTCCACCTTGGTCAATGTCCTTACTGGTGAATTGATCCCAACCAGCGGTGACATCTACACTCACGAGAATATCCGTATCGCCTATATCAAGCAGCATGCTTTTGCCCATATCGATAACCACTTGGAGAAGACTCCTTCCGAATACATCCAATGGCGTTTCCAGACTGGTGAGGATCGCGAGACTATGGACCGCGCCAACACCAAGATCACTGATGATGATGAGCAAGCCATGAACAAGATCTTCAGGATCGAGGGCACTCAGAGACGTGTCATCTCCATTTCTTCTCGGAGAAAGTTTAAGAACTCTTATGAATATGAGTGCTCGTTTACTCTTGGAGAGAACGTTGGACAGAAGGGAGAGAAGTGGATTGTGATGTCTACCTCCGACAACGCTTGGATCCCTCGCACCGAGCTCATCGCCTCCCATGCCAAGATGGTTGCTGAAGTCGATCGTGCCGAGTCTATTAAGGCTGGTCAGTTCCGTCAGCTCATTCGTAAGGAAATTGAGGCCCACTGTGCTCAATTCGGTCTCGACGCTGAGCTTGTCTCTCACTCTCACATGAAGGGTCTCTCCGGTGGTCAGCGTGTCAAGGTCTGTCTTGCCGCTTCGACGTGGCAACGTCCCCATCTTATCGTTCTTGATGAGCCTACCAATTATCTCGATAGAGATTCACTTGGCGCCTTGTCCCGTGCTCTCAAGGAGTTCCAGGGTGGTGTTATCATTATTACCCACAGCGAAGAATTTACGAAGGATCTCACTGAAGAAGTGTAAGTCTTATTCCTGTCTGATATCTACAGATGATTGACCGGGGGCTAATATGTTTAATAGTTGGTCTGTTCTTGACGGAAAAATGACCCCCTCTGGACACAATTGGGTTCAGGGTCAAGGCGCTGGTCCTCGTCTCCAGGAGAAGGCAGGTGATGAGGATGTCTTCGATGCTATGGGTAACAAGGTTGAGGGTGGCAAGAAGAAGAAGAAGCTCACTTCCTCTGAACTCCGCAAGAAGAAGAAGGAGCGTATCGCCAGGCGAAAGAGGGGTGAGGAGGTCTTCTCTGATGAAGATGAGTAGTCGAGTCTATAGGGGAGGTGTCTCGAGTTTTTTCTTTCTGTTTTTCCCTTGGTCTATCGGTCATGATACGATAATGATGAAAAGTGGGGTTTGGGTTTTTCTTTCATGTTTACGGATGGTGGCGGGCTTGTGTAATTTTTCCTGTTATTTTTTTCTTTTCTCTGGACTTGTCGTTTCACCATTCTTAGAATAGAGATAAACTAGTTCTGTTAATACAAGTGAATGATGGTCATGTTTCAATAAATATTGTTCCTTATCATCTGGATGTGAATTTGTTTACCCACGGCAATTCAGGAAAGGAGATCAAGAAAATCTGGGGCGATCGTGAGATCTGTGGCACACAACTCACATGAGAGATCTAGTCCGCGGTTTCACCCTCCCGGTATCGTAGATATCTGGGTATCCCTGCCTGCTTGCCCGCCTGTCTGTCTGCACTAACTTGCTAAGCTTTTGATCTACCACGTCCGGAAAGTGGAGAAGGTGGTGTGTACGAGTAGACGGACATGTGGTCGACCATCCATCCATTCCACTACAGTAGATTGTGAGTTGGGAGGGTTTTCTTTTCTTTTCTTTTTCTTTTTGTAAGAGGGGTGACTGGTCGCACCGGCACTCCCGGTATATCTCTGCATATCATGGTGGGGTGTTCTTTTTGGTTTTCAGCGTGGGGGGCTTTCAGTGAGGCGGCTGTATGGTAATGTGTTGTACGATAACAATCCGCTTGGTCAGGAATGAAAAAAAACGAAAATCAAAGGGGTGCTTGAGTCGGGACAAGAGGGGGGAGCAATATATACGATACTCTCGGATCAACTCCTGTCGTAATAATAATAATAGGGATTTCTCGCTGCCATGTTGAACACTGTGGAACTCTAGAAATACAATATCTATCGTAAAGTATCATACATGTATCATAAGCCGCACATCGGAGCAGGGCTGCAGCTATCGTACCGAATATCGGGCTCCCGGGAGTGGCGGTACGTATGGCTGGTGCCCTATCCTGAATATAAAAAACTTTGCTCCCCGACTCGCTCGAGTTTCGGGTGCAGCGGTGTAACCCGTACGGCCCGGGCGTTTATTTCTGGGATTCTGTGGTACTGGTGTGGTATTTGATACGGTGCGGGTGTGGTGCTCCTGCTGCTCTGCTAAGATTTTGTTGCCTGGGGTCGTCGTGTGGGGGGGGGTGGAGTTGGAGTATCATAATTATCACAGTACTAGTATATTATTAAGTAAAATATTGGATCCTGATTCGGAGCTTTCTTAGTAGGGGGATGCATGTTCTGGGATGTTGTGGTATTTCTTTTCTTTCTTGAATGGGGAGTTCGGGCTTGGAGTGGTGTGAGATAAGTTTTTCCCCTCGGGGTTTGTTTGAAGCATTTTTATTTTTATTTTTTAATTTTTTTTTTAGTTCTTTCTCTTTTCGCTTCTCTGTTGTGAGTGATTGCCCCCCCCGAGTCTTCTCGTGATTGGGAAAATATTGGTGTGATGGGGAAGTGTTTGGAGGTTGGAAACTCGTTCAGTGCTGATTGGGGGTGTGAGGTATGGTACCGTACTATACTGGAAAAACTGGGACGGTATGGTACGGGTACGATAGAACCATAATATATTATGTAACTGGGAATCCCAAATTTTGGAAAAAGAGGCAAAAAGGGCTGCTCAGTCTCTAGAGAGATGTAAGAAACGGAGGGAAAAATACAGGTAATCTATCATACCGGGTACGGTACTTGCTAGAGGGGGCAGCTCCAACGATAGGGCACTACTCGAGTATCATATCATACCATCGTACAATTCGATGACTCTCAGCTTCGGAATCTTTTTTGTCTTCCTGAGGCGCTTCACCCTACTGTATTTCATCTGTCGATGAATGACTAACAACAGCATGTTTCCTTCTCGCTTTGAAGGGCAGTAGCAAGGGAGATCCAAAATCTCTCTAATGTGGTGGTCTTGCACTTCCATTTGGAGCCAGGTAACATGGTCTACCATTTGCCCACTCATCTGCCTTCTATAGGCTCACGATGACTCTCCCCCTGTTCCGCAGAGCTGTTATAAACAAATGCTGATATTAGTGTGGCCGTGCCGATACATGTGGGTGCACCACTCCGCTTGCGATTTCTCCCCATCCCTACATGCAATGACGCCCTAGATGAATATGCAGCGGTCCATCGGGTCAATCTTTAATCCGTTGAAACAGATCCTCGAGAAGTCCCCGGGCACGCGAACATCGGTGACTGGGAGACCCCATATTCAGGCTGAGATGGAAAGGCGTCTCACGGGACGGGTGATAAGTGTGCCTGTATGCCCTAGCAAAGATGATATCATTCGACACCTTCGTGCACAAAACCGAAGCGTGCGGAATCGTCGTAGATCTGGAATGTCAAAGTTAGTCAGCTACGAGTACGAAAAATGATAAGGCAAAGGGACAAACGTTTGCAGCGCAACGACCGTGAAAAGACACGCGTTTGAAACCAACGATCATAGGATAGAAAAAAAAGTCGAGGAGAAAAGACAGTGATGATGGAGGCGGAAACAACGAAAAAAAAAAAACCGACTTGGAGGCTTTAGGCGGCAGTGGCCTCGTCTTCTTCGAACTTCAAGCGGGCGAAATCGGCATCGGGGTACTCCTCCAAGACGAGCTCCATGACATAGTGACCAGGGGCTCCGAAGGTGACATGGTTGGACATGCCACGGGGCATTCCGGAGTGCAAGAGAGCGACCAGCTTCCCCTCCGCGTTGAAGATAGCTGAGCTAGAATCCCCCTTAGCCGAGAAATTACCGTGTTTGTTGCCCCCCCAGTTGAGGACTGCGACCTCCCAGGACGAGCCTTCGAGATCCCTACAGGTGTAAGCCTCGAGCTCGGACTGGCGACCAAAGGTAAGGTCAGTCGCCTGCCTTTCCTTGGCAACGCTGAAGCAGGGATTGTTGCTTTCGTCGACAAGTACGGGTTCGAGAGGGCTGCGGCGTCGACGACACCCGAGAGCCTGAGGAGATGGTCCTTTGGGTACTGGAATACGGGGGGGTTGGCGGCGTTGGGGTAGAAGCAAGTGTTGATCTCGGCGCGGGTGAACTTGCCAGCTGAAAATTTATGTTTCCATTAGATGAAGTTAAGAAAAAAAGAAGAGAGACAAAAAGGAGTACGCACCAAGGTAGACGACATTTCCTTTGAAGTTCTTGACGAACTTGTCCCGCTCGAGCGTCATGACACCTATATCGCGAGAGTAGCGGCGGGGGTCGGCGTCATTGGCGATCTTGGGTGCCCAGTCGATCCAGGCGATGATACGATCGAAGGCATCGCTCCAGGTGGACTTGAGGAGCTTGAGGAAGTCATCGAGGATACCAACGTCCGACTCCGCTTTCTGCAACTGCTGCTCCTTATCCTTCAAGTCCCTGTTGTAATCCGCATCCTCCTCCTCAGGTGGATCCGCCACCAGCTCCGCAAGCTGCTCGGCGAACAACTTGGCGTCACCGAGCTTCTCAGCAAGCAGGGCACGAGCCTCGTTGAGGAGCCTCTCAAAGCGACGATGACCACAGTTACGGATGTACTGCTTACGTTCACCTTGGCGGCCACTGTACTTGTAGTCCTCGTTGGTCTTCTTGGACACGACATGCTTGTTGGTAAACGCCAAGACGTCCTTGCTCTTATTTCCCTGTCGGTCCTTACCACGGTGGAAGTAGAGACCGAGTGAGCCCTGCGAGTCAGTGTCCGCCATGTCCTGCGCAGCGAGGGGGACGCCCAGGGCGGCTGTGAGAGCTCGACGGAGCCAATGAGTCGGGTTGGTGTCTCTGGTGACCGGCATCATCTCAGGAGGACCAGCGAGCGACTCCATGGCGCCCTCGATCCAGTAGACTGCGACGTCGTGGATGTCGTATTTGGCGAAGATGTCGAGTCGAGGATGGGGGCGTTGGCATCACGGCAGCTGGTCTCTTGGCGCTGCCAGGATGAACGGAGATCCACAGAACAATGTGGTCGTCGAATACGTCCTTGCCGTCTTCATCAAGGGTAGAGAAACGCACAGGCAGCATCGTCGAGACGCGGATGCCACGACTCGCCTCGTTGCACAAAGCAAGAATCTCAGGAGCAACCGACCCCTTCCAAAGCGCGTTCTTGAGGATAGGGTGGTTGGCGGTGTGGGCAGCCTTCACCGGAATGGTGGAGTGCCTCTCTGTAGGCCTATTTTCAGGGATGGGGGGGGAAAGGACGCTGCATGAGATCCGAACGCTGGAAGAGGTGGGGAGGGTCGTCGGCGATGCCGTTGTAGAAGTATACGCGTTTGAAGGGCGACATGTAGTCATCAAACCACCCCGGGTGAATATATATTAACTGAATGATTTTTTTATGAACAATTGATCCGCTTGAATTGTGAAATCCCTGGAAAAGCGTGGGTCGGTCCGGCCTTGCTCGAAGCCGGATGGACTGGCCGCTTAGGTTCACTGTCACAAGTTTTCTTGCCCTTTATGATCATGCGCGAGTGCCGGGAGGGTATCATACGAGAGTTTCAACTTAGGGTTGCGGCTGCAGGGGTACAGTACCGATTATCGGGCATCGTGACCCGATATTTCACAATCCAAAACAAAACACCTGGGAAGGGAATAGTGTTTTCTAGAGAGGGTATACCCTAGGGAGACTTGAGCTCGCTAGATCTCAGTAACTGGTATCATATTCGTTATTATTTCTTTAACCTACTCTTCTAAGCCAACTATGGTTTAACACAGCGATCCAGTTGGGATCCACGAGTTTTTTTACAGTAGGCGGCATTCGTCTGGGGTTCGTCGGAAGCAACCCAAACTACAACATTTTCACACCACCGCTACGCAAGCAAGCAAAAACACATTACGCCTCACCCTTGACAGAGCATTTTTACACCCCTCTCCGAGGGCCTTACTCCTTGTTTGAAATTTCTCAAGCAATGGAGTCAAAAAGCATTTTATACAATTGCGGAGGCAATTAAGTCTGGTAAACTCGAGTAACTCGAGTTTACCAACCTCACTGCTGAGGAATCTTCTATGGTAATTTTGGGCCTGTTTGGCCCAAAGAATAACTTTGGGAGATGTCGTTTTCGGTAATTACCCCTGAGAAGGTGTGATCATACTTACTGATTCAGGATAGAGTTTACTTTCCAACACCCGATCATTATCTGAGGGTGGTAATGCCTAGCTTTCTCCACGAGAAGGGAGGTGGGTGGCTAGTGAGGCAGTACCGGCAATGGGGTACTACTGGGCTCATCAATGGCGAAGCGGGTGAACGCATACACCCCCTATCATCCCCAAGTAAGGTTACATGATTGGCTCCTTAAATAATAGCCCTAGTAACCAGTGACTGTAGGGATCGAAAATTTCATAGGAAGTTATGTAAATAGTATGAAGGAACCAGACTTTTGCTTCCTTCCCAATGGTCCTGATGGAGTACCCAAAGATTACCCATCAGTTGTCCTCGAGTCTGGATGGGCGAGTGCGGAATCAGAACCTGTCCAAGAATGCCGACTCTGGCATGAAGGATCACGAGGACAGGTTAGGGCCAATCCTAGTGAAACTCTATCAACCGAATTCTGAGAATCAGATTCGTGCAATTATGGAAATCTCACATGCCCATGGGCCAGCTACATTTACCTCCAACACGATTGTACAATTTCTCCTTTCTAGTGTCTGTGACTGTTAACCTATTTTTACTAATATACAATCTAACGTTAGAGCGTATTCCCAACTCCCGATCCTAGCCCTCCAAATCCTACTCTTACAATCGAGGAGTTATTTGGAGGACACTGCCCGGTGGCCGTTAACCCACAGACCAAACTTCCATTAGATGTTGGACAGCTGCTCTGTGAAGTTGAGAAATTTATTCTCAAGCACTAGAACCGACCGTCTAATTCTCCCGGTGAGATAGAATATGGATATATCTCAAGGAATGTTGTCCTCGCTACTAGCATCGAAGTGTGTTTTCCTTTTCGTCACTATTGGATTGTTTAGTATTTTGGCCCGTATTGGTGTTTCGCTGCTGGTCTTTTTTCCTTTCTCTTTATCGCTAGTTAAAAATCTATCGTTGTTAAAAATCAGGGTACTAAAAGAGCGAAAAAGCGTCAGAAGTAGTGATGGACACTATCGTGATCGAGCAGAGGTCCCAACTGGCTTGTCTGACCCATAGCCCGGCTTCAATTATTCCCGGTAGCCAAAGCCTGGTTCCGCCGCCGTGGTTTGAAATTGCGGTGTTCACAAGTTATGCGGTCGAGTAAGGATCCATGAATTTCCCTTTACAAAGTGCAGTTAGGTTTGGTCCGTGGGGGGGAATGGTTCTATTGTTGAGAGAGAGAACCGGGTTAGTAGCTTGCCTCTTTTATCCTAACATGTTTAATCTTCCTCTATCTGTAGATCCTCACCAGCATTTTTTTGTTCCCGCCTATCCCCTGGTTCACTGAGACGTGGGCGAAATCTCTCTCATGCATTAGCGCCCAAGCTAGCAGCTTGGCATCCGGGTGATATCAAATGAATATGTGCTCAAATATACTATAGAGTTCTCATATCTACACAGTCGAGTTTAGTTGGTAAACGCATGGAATTAAGGTCTTATTTGTTTTAAAAAATGCTATTATTGAGGGACAGAGGGGGTGTAATTATGCCATCGGGTAAAGCACAGCTGGTCACTTGCACACACAGCGCTTGGTGGTGAGCAGGCCCGACACTCATACTGGGTAAGCTTGGGGCAGGCGCGGCCTTGCTTCTGACCATTCCAAAAGTCATACCGACAGATACAACACTCCCGACGCTTTTCCATCTTCTTAAGGTGATGGTCGGATGAAGGTTGCGATATAGGCTTTTGCAAGTAGTGATGTTTTGTAAAATAGAGGCGTGGTGTTTTGGATTGATAGCGCGTACTTGGCCGATAGTGTATTCTTCTAGCCTTTCTACCCCTATCCTGCGCACTAGGAGTCTGGTCACATAGTTTTTTAAACAATAGACGGCGAAATTCTACTGCTGGCATAGGGCAAGCGAGTGGGTGGGAGAGTATATCTTGATCAGCCAAATCTCCTGCATCTAGCAGTCGGTTAAGCTCCGTATTCTGTGTAAGATTGATCAAAATATGGGCGTTCGTAGTTGATACGTCTAAGAAAAAATAAAAGAAGGCTAACCAATTCCGCCGTGCACGCTGGTGTGTTGTAAAGGCTATATTCTAGTCATTAGTGGTGCTGAGACCAGAATTTAATTCTATTTTACTTACCTGCACGGCGCTGATCCGCTATGTTGACCCCGCCCATATGATGATTATAGTCATCAATTGCGGTAGGAATAAAGAAGGTAGCGCAGGCCTGATCTCCAAATACCTTTCGTACTAGGGTAGCATTTGTGCTAGTTGTACAAGGCCATCGACGCATGCTGCGTGTAATCTCATTCCATGGATGAACCGTAGTAAGTATTCTTACTATATTGTTGTCCATCCATCGGAAGCACAATACCCCATCCACGGAGTAACCATCAATTGAATTCCATTCAGTAAGAGCTTGTTGCTCAAGACTGACTGGGTATTCAATTCTATTAACCCTGGTAGTGCCACAGGCTCCAATTCTGTTTTCTCTTAATTTTCGAAACAGTGAGATCGTAGAAAACCCATTATCCATATAGATAATATGGTGGTATTGCTGGGTATTAAGAGAGCGACATAATTGGACAACAGCGGAACTTGTTGGTGAGAGGTCGGGCAGCTTTATTAGCTCTGCAAAGGACTCAGTTCGGGAGGTAAGCATCCAATCTATTGTATACCCCATACAACACAGAGCAATAACTTTATACCCTATTGGAATTGGTTTGCTTGGTATGCGAACAGTATGAAAGCTTCTACCAGCAAATGATACCATCATTTCATCAATTGAGAGATAGGTACCAGGCTGAAGCAGCATCTGACTTTTATGTCGCAAATGGCTACTAAGCGGTTCCAGCTTTTTCCACCATTCCCCTCGTGAGAAGCCAGTACTATCTTCTGGCATCGATATGTGGATAAAGCGCTTTACTTGACAGTAGCGGTGGTAGCTCATAGAACTGGGAGTGGAAAGAATACAATCAGACCAGTATCTCCTCACCCAACTCAACTGAGAAATACCCATCAGAATCGTGATTCCTAGGAATATGCGCAACTCCTGAACTGAGATCACACACCGCCACTGCTGTCATGAATATGGCTTAGCGAGGAAAGAGTTTTCACGTGACGCATAGTTATGAGTCACAGGTATGTTATTGTTTCGCACATATGACCTATTCGGGTTATATGATTTATTATGTGTGGGACTTGTGATGCTTTCGCACATGGCTCAAGTATGAGTCAGGGGACATGCGCCTGACGAGTATGCATTGCGAGTATGCCTTATGGGCAAGCCTTGCGCATATGATTTATATTTCGCACATGACCTCATTATGAGGTCATGGGTTTCGTGCATATGACTCAGTCGAGTCATATGACTTGTTCATTACATTATGATTGGTTTATGAGTTTTGCATACGACCTTACTATGAGGTCATGGGTTTTGAGCATGTGATCACTTTGGTCATATGACTAGTTTGTTATGATTTGGTTTCGCACATGTGACCACTTTAGGTCACATGACTAAAGGGGGGAAGAATGCTATATAAGGAGGCTGATACGGCCGAGGAAGATAGGTTCTTCACGCTTTGTTCTAAGTACTTTTCCTATTTATTACTTTAACGAATATAAAACACCTTGACGATCTTTATCCTTATTACAATGTTATCGTTACACCAAGGAAGGCGCTTTACGGAGAAGAGTTAGAGAAAGCTTACGATAGGTGTTCCCAGTAGAAGACAATGGTCTTGTACTATCGGTAACGTAGGCAGAGGCCTAGAGCTATCGTAAGACAAAGGAAGAAGAAGACAGGAAGAGAAGTATCGTTCACTGTCGCCGAGCATTAATTATCCAGAGAGGGATCGTTACATTACAAAGCGTCACCTAGTGCGACGCCAAACGATACAAGACGGCATCCTTCAACCCAGACAGGGAAGGAGATATTGACATCGATGATCAAAATCTTAATCCAGGAGGATTTAGCGACGCCCTAGATCACGTCTCAGCAGAACCCTGGAGAGCAGCAAGCCCAGTAACCCCAGAGAAAGGATCACCAGTCGATAGCTCTCCTGCTGGAACTCCACGACCCGACAGAATGTTGGCATCCGCAGTACCTGGGCCACCAG